AAGCGTCTCGCCTGGGCCAAGGACAAAAAGGACTGGACTGATGCTGAGTGGTCCAAAGTTATGTTTTCTGATGAAAGCAAGTTCTGCATTTCCTTTGGAAATCAAGGACCCAGAGTCTGGAGGAAGAGCGGAGAAGCACAGAATCCACGTTGCATGAGGTCCAGTGTAAAGTTTCCACCGTCAGTGATGGTGTGGGGTGCCATGTCATCTGCCGGTGTTGGCCCACTCTGTTTCCTGAGGTCCAGGGTCAATGCAGCCGTCTACCAGGAAGTTCTAGAGCACTTCATGCTTCCTGCTGCTGACCAACTTTATGGGGATGCAGACTTCACCTTTCAACAGGACTTGGCACCTGCACACAGTGCCAAAACCACCAGCACCTGGTTCAAGGACCATGGTATCCCTGTCCTTGATTGGCCAGCAAACTCGCCTGACCTTAACCCCATAGAAAATCTATGGGGTATTGTGAAGCGGAGGATGCAATACGCTAGACCCAACAATGCAGAGGAGCTGAAGACGACTATCAGAGCAACCTGGGCTCTCATAACACCTGAGCAGTGCCACAGACTGATCGAGTCCATGCCACGCCGCATTACTGCAGTTATTGAGGCAAAAGGAGCCCCGACTAAGTATTGAGTGCTATACATGCACATTCTTTTCATGTTCATTCTTTTCAGTTGGCCAACATTAGAGAAACAAACATTTTTTCATTGGCCTTTAGAATATTCTAATTTTCTGAGATACCAGATTTGATGTTTTCATTGGTTGTCACCTATAAATATCAAATTTAAATGTAATGAACATTGGAAATACATTGGTCTGTGTGCATTGCATGAATATAATGTACAAGTTTCACGTTTTGAATGGAATTACTGAAATATTTTCAACCTTTTGATGATATTCTAATTTACTGGCCAGCACCTGTATATTTTACTCGGTCTGCTCCATGGTTCACCCCTGCCCTACGCTCCTTGAAAGCTACTAACCGGAGGCTTGAAAGACTCTACAAGAAAAACGGTCTCACCATCCATAAAGACTTATATTCTGCTCAGATTTCTCTCTACATGGACTCCATCTCCCATGCCAAATCTCAGTATTACTCCGGTCTCATCTCGTCCAACTCCAGCAACACTAAAACATTATTTTCCATCATGAACAGCATTTTTCAGCCTCCCGACTCCTTACCCATCCATCTTTACTCTTCAGAAACCTGTAACTCTCTCCTTCAGTTTTTTTATGAGAAGGTCAATAGAATCCATCTCTCTTTACCTCATTCCTCCCCTCCCTCTCCTGATTTATTTGAACCCTCCATTCAGTTCTCCTCCTTTGAACTTCCCCATCCCTCAGAACTATTGGATTACATCACCAAATCCAAACCTTCCACCTGTCAACTGGACCCTATTCCAACAGTTTTAGTTAAATCCTGTCTTTCCTCTCTGCTCCCTTTTATAACAGCCATTATTCATTCCTCACTATCCTCTGGCACGGTCCCATCCCTATTCAAATCTGCTTCAGTCAGCCCTATTCTAAAAAAACCTGGTTTAGATCCCAATGATTTCAATAACCTCCGTCCCATTTCCCATCTTCCCTTCATTTCCAAAGTCCTTGAGAAAACTGTTGCATCTCAGCTCCATTCCCATCTCACCCGCAATAACCTTTATGAACAGTTTCAGTCTGGTTTCCGTCCCCACCACAGCACAGAAACAGCTCTCATCAAGATCACTAAGGACCTACTCATTGCTGCTGTTTCTGGTTTAATCTCTATTCTCATTCTCCTCGATCTGAGTGCGGCCTTTGACACCATTTCTCATCCCATCCTCCTTAATAGACTCTCTTCCTTAGGCATCACTCACACCCCCCTCCGCTGGATTCAATCTTACCTTACTGGCCGCACTCAGTTCATCCAGTTAAAATCCTTTACCTCAGAACCCTCCCCAGTCAAGTCAGGTGTGCCCCAGGGCTCTGTCCTGGGGCCCCTCCTCTTCATAGTATACCTCCTCCCTATCGGCAAAATCTTCCGCAAATTCAATATCCAGTTTCACTGCTTTGCAGATGACACCCAGCTCTACATTTCCAGTAAGCCCAACTCAACTCTCCCACCATCCTCCCTTACACTCTGCCTCTCTGAAATCAAATCATGGTTCACCTCTAATTTCCTCAAACTCAACGGCAATAAAACTGAACTTCTTCTAGTTGGCACTAACTCCACCCTCTCAACATCTGACAGCTTTTCTTTAACTATTGACAGCGCCATAGTCTCCCCCTCCCCTCACGTCAAGAGTCTGGGTGTCATTCTCGACAGCTCACTTTCTTTTCAGGCTCACATTAATAACTTAATTCGGTCAGCATACTTCCATCTACGTTCCATAAACCGTCTCCGTCCCTCACTGACCCCTCACACTGCCGCCATTCTCGTCCACAGCCTCGTCACCTCCCGTATCGACTATTGCAATTCACTTCTTTATGGTCTTCCCAACAAGCTCCTTCATAAACTGCAACTGGTCCAGAATTCAGCAGCCCGTATTATCACCAGAACCCCTTCCTTTCACCACATCACCCCGGTTCTCCAGCAGCTTCACTGGCTCCCAGTTAAATTCAGGTCCATCTTCAAAATTCTCCTCCATACCTTCAAAGCAATCAACAACCTCTCTCCTCCATATATCTCAGACCTTATAAGTATTCACACCCCATCCCGTTCACTCAGATCTTCTTCTTCCATCCATCTTGCGGTTCCTTCTGCCCGTCTCGCTACCATGGGGAGCAGAGCTTTCAGCCGCTCTGCTCCTCGACTCTGGAACTCACTTCCCCCAGACATCAGGAACATCGACAGTTTTACCCTTTTCAAAACAAAACACACATGTTTAAATCTGCCTACAACCTCTGATTTTATTGGAATGTTTCTCTTTGTTTTTTCTTCTTTGGGTTTTATTATTGTTTTATTGTATTTTATTACGTGTTTTGTGTAAAGTGACCTTGGGTGTCCTGAAAGGCGCTTTGAAATAAAATGTATTATTATTATTATTATTATTATTATTATTATTATTATTAGCTGTATTGAAAATAGAGTTCTTTGATCTAATGAAAGAAAAGAAAAGAGTCTTCATCTTCTGTCTTCATTGCTGGAGCGTAAACAGTTTAGAAGAGAATGCATGACCTTGAGGCTGTTTCATGCACTCTGGCGCCGTGTCAAAGGGAACTGTGGTTAGAGGATAATAACCCTGAGGAATGGCTCCTTCATCACGTTACATCTGGCTGTTTGTTGGATGTAATTTAAAAAGTTATCAGATTAATACCAACCACTCTGACACCGTTGTTTAGTCTACACACCCTGGATGATGAAGCTCTGGAGATCCGGTCTGCAGGTGAAGCCGTCTCTCAGAGCGGGTGAGTGGACTTCTGATGTATCTGCAGGTCGTAGACACCCTCAGCATACGCACGACTGGTAAGAAGATACGTCCCAGGTGGCTTCTGGTGGACGGTTTCATGTCTGATGAGTGGGTGGTGGGTTGAGCCAATAATAAATGTTGATTCATGTGCTGCTAAAATTATTCTACTGAATAATCTGGTTTAATCCCTATAGGATGGTCATTCAGCATGAGCTGTGAGCTTCTGATGAACTGGGAGCTCTGGCTGGAACTGGGAAAACAGGAAGCGAGTCACTTTTAATGAAATGGTTGTTTAGAAACTTTTACCAACCAGACCTGAGAAATGTGTCCAGGTGTTCACCGAGACCCTCAGACACTCCCCTTTCTCAGACCCTTAGAAACCTTATGTCACTTAATACATGGATTAAGTCTGTTCATGGAGGTAATTTGGGGGTGGGGGGTGGGGGGGGGGACAACATACCCCCACCCCCCACCCCCCCGCACTTTATCCAAAGTCAAGTTTTGACCCCTGCACTTTTTACCATCCCAAAACAATATTACGCTATATTAAAGTGACACTGGAGTGCTAGGATCAAGCAGAAAACAACCGTTTGTGTTGAAGCCTGTTTCCCATTAGAACATACTGTAAAGACACCATACCAAACCCCCCCCCCCCCCCCACACACACACACACACACACACACACCCGTGTCCCCCCCACTTCTTAAGTAAAAATTACGTCCATGAGTCTGTTAAACATTCATTTGTTTTTACACTGATATTAATCTGATAAATTGATAATTAAATCACTTTAGAAAGAACATTCATTGTAGAAAACACAGAATATGATTGTAAACCTGCAGATTAAAAGAACTAATTTTATGAGTAAAAGTCTCATCTTCTGCGTGGACCTTGGAGTTGCGGTTCAGACAAGGGAGTTATGGCTACCTTCTGGATGGTGCTGCTAGGGGTGTTTAAGCACGGAGTTATTTTGGTACAGGGAAGAACACAACATTCCTAGCAGAGGAAGGCTGCAACTCTCTTTTCACATGTCTGAGCAGAACCTCCCTGAACCGTCTACAGGTGGTTCAGAACGCCTGTGCTCGGCTTCTGACCAAGTCCTCCAAACACACCCACATCACCCCGCTTCTCCTCCAGCTTCACTGGCTGCCAGTCAACTTCAGGGTTCATTTCAAGATCCTGGTTCTGGTCTATAGGGCCTTACATGGACAAGCACCATCTTACATTGGTGATCTTCTTAGTCCCTACACCCCCAGCAGGTCCCTGAGGTCCAGTGACCAAAGCCTACTGGTTGTGCAGCACCAGGCTAAAGGTCAAAGGTGACAGATCATCTGCTGCTGTGGCCCCCAGACTCTGGACCTCTCTCCCCCTGAGCCTGAGACCAGTGGACTCAGTGGTCTCCTTTAAACTCACCCTCCGTCAGTTTCAGCTGCCCCGGGTGTGAGAAGGTGTTGGCATTTGAGCAGATTCTGTTTTGCTTCAGTCAGACATGAAAACAGGTCGAGGGTGAAACAGGTGAGAACCCACACCTGCTCGGAGACGCTACATCAGGAAAACCAGCCGTTCACACACACACACACACACACACACACACACACGCACGCACGCACAGTCATCACCTATTGTTGGCGTCTGGGCTCAGCAGCTCTCACCTTTCCTTCAGCATCCAGCAGCTGTCTCTGAACAACAGAGGACCAACCTGACAGCTGAATAATTCACAAAGGCTCTGCGTGTGATTCAGGTCATATTGGCTCCCTTTATCCTCATTGTTGGCATGTACAGCATGACCTGATGATGCTGGTCGGTGGGGTGTGTGTGTGCCTCTGCATTTCAGCGTTCCTTAGATGGAGTGTGTGTTAGCTTCTGTTACAGCAGCTCTCGAGGACAAGCCGGAGTACTGTGCAGCCCCCTAGTCACGCCCGGGTTTCACCTGAGAAGCTTGGTAAGCTATATTCCACTGACATGTGCTCTCACTAATGTACCCCCAGGGTGCAGCTGCTTAATCCACGTTTAGCCTTCAGATCTGACCTCCAGATAAACTAACACATGGAGCCATGTTGGGAAGATGCCTTTTATTGTTCCGAGGTTTGAGCAGCCAAACGTAGCTGTGAGGAAGTCCATTCTGAAAACCTTCTATGTTAGACAAGAACGTTTGGGTTTCATCTTTCACCGTTTAGGCCATTTTAACCTCAAAGTCATGCCACCGTTAAAGTCTCGAGGCCGACCAAATGCTGCAAAGCACAGCACAGCTGCAGAAAGGAAAGCAACCAGAGACCAACATGTCAGACAGCCTTCACCCACAGCACTCCAGACTGCCACTCAAACGCCCAACAGGACAGGAAAATCACCAGCGTGTGAGCAGCGTAAGAGCAGAGAGGTCAGGACCACCAGGAGGAACAAAGCTGCTCAGAGTGTGGAGAAAAGCTCAGCAGCAGAAAAGGCTTCTGGCGAGAAATCACAAGACAATGGTAGGACGAGAGGGTTGGAGAAAAACATCAAAGCTACAAGAAACGTTTTCTCAACAGCACCAGAGAGGATCCACAAGAAGCTCCCCATCCAGCCTGGACACAAAACAGAGAGTGATGTTAGTGCCCAGGAGGAGGAGGAGGAGGAGGAGGAGCGAGGTGGCAACAAACAACCAGCCGAGACACAAAGGAGTGAGGAGAGTAGTGAGGAGTCTGAGGCATCAGGGACTCAAAGTGATGCAGAGCAGTCTGTAACCAAGGAGTCAGGCGAAGAGGAAGTTTCACCTGAACCTGTTGCATCCACAGAAGAGGGAGGAGGAGGAGGAGATCGAGAAAAAGAAGCAGAAGTTTCTGACAGGGTGAGTGATGAAAATGAGATAACCCCGAAGGAGTCAGGGCCGTCTACTGCTGATGAAGCTGGAGGACAACAGACAAACCCTTTGGATGTTTCTGACCCAGTAAGGGAGACAAAGTACAAGATGTTCAGACGCTCCAAGGCTGACAAGAAAACGGGTGTAGGAGAAAAGCAAAAGGCCGAAAAGCAGAGGCGAACAAAGGAAGCCAAACAAAAAGCCAAGGAGGAAAAGAAAAGTAAGAAGGAACAGCCTGATGATGAACTTGGTTCTTCAACAGAGGAAGTTCAACCATCCATCGATAACAGAGAAGAGGGTATGAATCTGTTGTTAAAGAAAACTAAAAGGAAGACAGATTCTCTCAAAGAGGATGACTCAGGTGAAGAAAAGGAGGAAGTTGAGCAGATAGTACTCAAACCCAACAAAGGCCAACGTCCAATGTTCCCAACCAAAGAGCCAAACGTCACTCTCGGGACTGGGAAGCAGCAGCATGTCGGTCATGTCATCAAAGGAAAGCAAAAGAGCTTGCTCCTGGGTAGAGATGATGCGGCTCCACTCCAGCTCAAGGCAGAGAACCCTGATGAAGAAACTCCCGAGTGTCCATCCAGCAGGTCAATGGCACCTTTGATGGCACGAAGAACCAGTATTACAGCTTTTCGCCGGGTGTCTGGCTGGATCCAAAAGAAAATCCCACAGCCATCAAATCTAAAGAAACCCCTCTCTGCTCTGACTAGAGCCATCGGCATCTCTCACTGGCTCTCCAAACGAGCCACAAAACTGAAAAAAGGAACCAGGAGAACTAACAACAAGATGTTCAAACACAAAATGGCCATGAGGGTTGCCAGTGAGACCAGCCTGTTCAGCAAGAAAAGCAAGATGTCTTCTGAGGACCCAGCGGGTAAAGAGAAAGCCAACCTCCAAGAACAGAAGGAAGAGAGAGTGGAAGAAACAGTGCAGGGGACAGAGAAAGAGCTGGAGGCCAAATTTGCTGTAGTACTTCCCAGGATGAACAAACTCAGCAAGGCAAAGATGGCTGAAACGTTTCAAAGAGCTCCTGCATCTTCTGCTCCATCAAATCCACCTGAGGAACCATATGACTCAAAGCCCAAACCTCCAAAGCCAGGTGCTAAGCTTGTGCTTCCTGTCAGACCAGACCTCGGTCTCCTGAAGTCCATCAGGAAACCTGGCAGCGAAGGCCTTTTGGCAGATGCAAATGTAGAAAAGAAGAGCACTATGTCCCTCGATACTTCAGAAGAATCCTCCATACCTGATAGCAAAACCAAGAGAGCCACCACTGCTACTCAAGATGGAGTCAATGCGTTGCTGGCTGCTAGAAGGAAGCTGAAGCCTTCTCAGATCAACCTGAGCAGAATGCCAGTGGGGACAAACAGAAACGGCCTCAAAGGACCTGATGTAAGAAGGGAGGAAGCTGCTGGGGCATCTAGGTCCACCCCTCAATGCTTTCCAACCGGACAGTCAAGTGCAGCAGCATCTCTGGCTTGGTCTCTGTATGAAGAAGAGACTGACAGAGAAGTGGCTCAGCTGATGGGTGAGGATGGTTTATATACCGTCACCCAACCAGACACGCACTGGACTGGGAACCCACGGATGAGTGGAGATCCTCAGGTAGGTGCCACACAAATGGAGCTGCATTTCTCAAACCCGACACAACCACGTTGTGAGTTCTGTCTGGTACAGGACTGGCTCCGCTCAGAGAGTCTGCTGCCCCACCAGACTGTAGAGAAGTTAACCAAGTGGACAGTCTACAATGACGAAGGCCAAGCCAACGATGGCAGCGGTCCCTGGGAATCAGAAGACCCCGCCCAAGAAATGTTGGAGCGTCGGCTGGCCAGTACACAGGTATCTACTCCACCTTCCCTTAGACTGTCTAACCCACACTAATAACAAGCTCCACTGGGTTTGGTGCAGGATCAGACTAAAGGTCTAGATTCTGACCTCTTCTCCAAAAGCATCAGAATCCACAACACAGACTCTGGTTCCCGCTATTTTCAGATGAATCTGTGTTGCCAGTAGCGATGTTAAGAGACACATCAGAAAAATCCCCATGTCTAGCCCTTAGATACAGTGTGTTGTGCATTTAGGTCTCTGGGTGTGCAAAAAGAAAAATTAAATAAGTCACTTCAGGCGGTTTTTAGAAGTTTTACTATAAAGTTTTGATCCTATTTTCCAACCTGTTCAGTTTTCTCAATTTTCTATTATGTTGTGTTCTCTATTTCATCAAGATAACTGCCAAATATGGTCATGGACTTCCTGCTCAACACAGAGCCAATCCACCATTTTCCTTCTCAGTCAGATGTTTGTAGTCCAATTGAAAGAATGCAGAAAGTCACAAAGTGTTCCTCACTGTAAGGAAGGGCGGCGTGGCAGTAGATGCAGCTCTCAGGCTGCAGACTACTGCTCAAAAACCACAGAAGCAGAAAGCTGTGTGTGATTTTGTGCGTACGTACACACACATGTCCTTTCTCCACCTCCGAGCTGCTGCAATGCTGCCTGACCACCGAGGAGGACGTAACGGACGCAGCAGCAGAGTGGTAAGCTTCATATAACCCTAAAATGTCAGCAAAATTTAGACTTTTTAGATTTACGGCATTAGCATTGTAACATTAGCATCCAACCTGCTAATGCTAGCACAATATGCTAGTAAAGTTAGCACCCAGATAAATGTGGATTCGACCGATTTTTGTGGAATAAAACCTGATCTGAAAATTCTGATCAACGCCTTTTTTTACACCAGATGATAACCTTCCACTCAGGGTCCGAAATTAACACTCGCCACATGCGAGTAAATTGCTCCACCTGGCGAGTAAATGTTTGCACCAAATTAGTTATGTTTATCAGTCATCTTCCATGGATTTCTGATACTCCTCCCGCCTGCATGCAACGTACACAAACGTACGCAAAACGTGAGCGCCACATCCAACGTCATTTCCACCTATCCTATTCAATCAGTTTATCAAGTTAGCGGTTAGCTTCGTGTTAAAACTAGCGGTGAAATGTGGCGGTTTTTAACTGGAGTCAGCCAGCCTTCCAAAAGAAAACTCGTCGAACTGGAAGGAAAACCACCAGGACCAGTGGCAACCAGAAGATTTTGTGAAAAGTGGCGAACCAGAGACGGCGGAGTCGTGAGACAATGGCTACATTATGATGGCCACGTAGCGTTGCTGCCTTTCACAGACAACTGTCCCTCGGCATTCTTCAAATATCCAAAAGATGCCCGTACTTCCGACTTTGTCTTCTTTGAGGGATAATAAATGTCCAGAGTGCCGTCTCCTCCTGCCATTATTTCAGCTTTAGCTTAAAGAAAGTTTTGGTCGTAAACAACAAAGTGCGCATGTGCCGCCGGCAACTTCAGCAGATGATACGGTGGCTGGTAAGGGTCACCGCGCCTACACCGCAGCCACGGTAATCCACCGAGATAATATATATATTTTAAACAAGACGGTTATTATTATTGTCCACTTTTTTACCGGGGTTTACCACTACACCGGTTACCGTGACAACCCTAGCCCTGACACACTTTCAGATATTCTCATGGTGCAGCTGTGTTCTCCAGAGATCAAGGACTAGGACCCAAATGAGGCTGTAAGGCTTTGGCACAAAGACGGTGTCAGAAGCAGGAGGCCAGACTTCATGGACAGACTAAACAAGGAGTCTGACTAGATTTCAATGAAAGAGTTCATAAAAACATCTCTAAAAATAAATAAATAAATAGTAAAAATGACAAAAGAGTTGTTTTTCTTATTAATTGATGTTTTAATTATTTTGTCACTCTGTTTGGAATCAACATAATATAGAATAACATGCTTTAGGTAGATCTAAATCATTTAGAGTTTTGGCCGGTAAAAAATATGCTTGGCCGGTAGATTTTCATCATCTACCAGCCAACTTGGCCGGTGAGTAAAATATTAAATTTCGGACCCTGCTTGCACTCACTGTAGCCGCAGAGAGCCTGTGTGTTGTTCTACGTGAATGTGATGTGATCTTAGCATCCAGTAAATAAAGTCCCATATCAGCTAAAATGCAGCGTGACAAAGTCATTAAAGTGCGTCAACACAGTGGATTTAATAGAGTTTTAAAGAACAATCTCTGAGTGAAGTGAGGTTAGTTTTTTTGTCTCACTGCAGATGTAAAATCTTACCCCAAAATTCCACTACCTCCGCCCCCGCCCCCCGCAGCCGCTCGCTTCCGAACTCAAATTTTACTGTACCCGCTCTACAACGGCTCCGCTCCGGTGCGGAGACCTGAGGTGCGCAAACAGGCATGTGCGGGATTTTCGAGATCTTGCGATACAGTCCGAGCAATAAACGCGGAAGTTAGATCCAAACACCCGTTGTGTGGGAGAAGCATCGACATGAACTGTTTAATCTGCCCATCATGTGTGTTGAGAGATCAGCAGTGTTTGGATCAACAAAGTGTGACTACTTTGATAGTAGAAACTGTATTTATGGCTTACTTTTGTGCATTTAAACTTCAGCCGCCATTGATAGTTGTTAAAAGTTGTTAAACCTGTGCATATGAAACAAAAAACGCCTTTTGTTTATCGATTTATTGTGAAAAATGGAAGCTGTGCTTGCTCCCTTTCCTGTTGGGCGGTTATGATTTCCGTCCATTGACTGCGGAGGTGCTCCGGCGTCCGGCAAAAATAGGATCGATTCTATTTTTGCCGGATGGCGGAACGGCGGGCGGCACACTGCGCCGCACGGCCGCAGTGGTGGAACAGCTCTGATTGACTACAACGGGACCGTTTTTGCTACGGAGTTCGTGCCGGAGCGGAGATGGTGGAATTTTGGGGTAAATAAATACAGTTTCTACTATCAAAGTAGTCACCCCTTGTTGATCCAAACACTGCTGATCTCTCAACACAAATGATGGGCAGATTAAACAGTTCATTTCGATGCTTCTCCCACACAACGGGTGTTTGCATCTAACTTCCGCATTTGTTGCTCGGACTGTATCCCAAGATCTCGAAAATCCCACGCATGCCTGTTTGCGCACCTCAGGTCTCCACACCGGGACGGAGCCGTTGTAGAGCGGGTATAGTATAATTTGAGTTCGGGGAGTTTGGGTGGGGGAGCCTGCTCATCAGCACCCCAGCAGAAAGGGTCAAACTCTGGTCACCGGTGATGGTTGTACCCCATGTGCAGCAATACCGGGACCAGAGTGAATAGGGTGTGTATGGGGAGCATGAGTGAGTGTCCGGCGTGCATTTTTGTAAGTCTTGGGTTGTATGTGCATGTGTGAGCATGAGGGAGGGAGTGTATGACTGTGTTTGTGTATGACTGTATATGTCAGGTGGGGCCTTTGACTCCTCCCCTCTCCTGGGACTTCTTTTGATGATATAGATCTTTGTCTCCCCTCCCCCTGCCATACCTGGTGTGGAGTGCAGTGCCTTGGTCTGCCTGAATGTTCGTGGCTCCTGGGTCAGGGGGTTTAAGATATTTGGCGTCTGCCTAATCAATCTCGGTGGCTGTCTGCTGGGGTCTGGGTCCTTGGGCTCTGCTGGGTCCCCGGCGGGGGTGGTCGCCCCTGGGTCCCGGGCTCGGCCGGCTAGGGGGTGGGAGGCTGCGGGTGGACCTGTGGGCTTGCCGCTGATGGCTCCCGGGACTCTGCCGGCTGCTGGTTGTGGCCCCCGGGGCGATCCTCTGTGCCTCTCGAGGGGGGCGGGGGCCTTTCTGGTTGCAGTCCCCTTGGGGTTCCTGTGCTCTGGGGCAGCGCCTGGATCTCTGGGACTTGGATCTCCCTCCGTCTCCTGCACATCTTTGGGGGGCAGATCTGTGGTCCCTCACACTCTCTATTGGACGCTCCTATAGAGAAACCTTACATAAACAAGCACGTGTACACACACAGGTGCTCACATGGTGCTTTCATAAGTATGGGCTTGGGCACGTTAAACACATGCCTTAAGGCTGTCGTTGCCACTAAATGCACTGTGATTTATTATCGTGATTCTTCAGTTAAGCAATGTTGATTGTATATTTCTTCAGGTTGACGCAGTGATAGCTTGCTCCTGATGTATTGTTGTGTGTCCCATTTTTTTCTATTCTTTCTCTTTCTGCAGGTCTAGAAGCAGACTCTTGTTCATTATTGTTTATTTTTGTGGACCCCCCCCCCCCCCCTCTCCCCACCTTTTGTCTTTTCCTTTCTCTTTCACCTCTGTCTCCGTGTCTGGTCGGAATTACAAAGCATTCAAAAACAACAACAATAAAGTTTTAAGTATCAGGCGTGACATTAAAAGCAAACGCTTTGATGCTCCACCTGAGAGTAAATCTGTAAGGCTTGTCACCAGCATTCAGACATCAATTCTGTTTGCTTCACAGCCAGACAGGACACGGTGAAGAAAAATAAATAAATAAATCAAACACATACTGATCTGGCGTAGATAAGGTCCAAAATGGATCCGTGCAGGAACAATTTTAATTTTAAAGCCGTCATTGATTAAAGCACAGATTATTCAAACATTTAATTTAAACATCTTGTTCATTCATTCAACACATATGATTATTCCAACTTATAAGATGTAAAGTCACGTAGGAACTTTGAGGAACTTTTATTCCTAGTGAGGATGCAGCAGCCTGACTCTTGCATGAGGCCTTGAGCAAAGATGTTATGGCTTCTTTGCAGTGATGAGAACTAGGGCAGAGTTCTGGCTTTGGAGGCCAGACTGATGGTGTTTTGTGTCTGCAAATGAAAGGTTATCTTCTGGTCAATTTGTTGATGAAAATTTGACCACTGGTACGTTACTCAGGTTAGAGACTCCTCTAGAATCAAAGGAATGTGAGGATTCTGGTTGAGACTTTTACGGATGATTTTACACCAAAGTCTAAGTTTCTCAGGTTTGT